AGGAAACCCAGATTCAAGAGAGGAAGGCAAATGGAAACATTCATCACAGATACATTGTCTCAGTCTAACATAATGATTTTTTCTTTGATAATTAACTTAGACAAGGTGATGCAGCACATTTAGGCTGGTTAGATTTAAGGAAGGGGTTTCATTTGCCACCCAATATGAACCAGTTTCCAGTGCTGGAAGTCATGGGTATGGATATAGCAGAGGAGGAACCAGCTCATCAAGTAAATGATGGGTTGTATTAAAAGGGGTGTCTCTGAGCAAAGACATGCTTCTAGCACTGTTCCTCCACCCCAGTCTTGAGATGACCCCACTAATGTTAATAGCAAGCAGTGCAGGGCTGGGAGTGTGGAGTCATCATGCCTGGGATGCTTTGCTGGGAGGGACACAACCACATCACTAGCAAGGCACTGGGAAGATCTCACCCAGATCTGCCCGAGCATGCTGTTTTGGAGACACGCCTCCAAAATTGTGCAAGGAAAAGGAGAGAACTGCTCACAAGTGTAGACTGAAAATTAGGTGGAGGCATCCAAGCATGGATATTTTGGGACAATTTTCAAACAGTGTACCAGGAGCAAGTAACTGGTTTGAGACGATGCTGGGGAAGCATACCAAAGGGACTGGGCAAGGATGGTCTCTGAGTTAGGAGCTGAAACTTGCCCCTTGTGTCAAATATGATGGTCTTTATGAGAAGATTTGAAAGGAGGCATTCAGCTGAGCCATGTGCGTGCCACATGCATGTGTGTGCTATGTATGTGCTACATTGCACATTTTGCTGGTAGCCTGCAGGGATCAGGAACAAATTTCTCTCCTTTGCTATAAACTTTGGCAGCTGAGTTGTTGGGTTATTTGACCCTTCTGCAGATTGCTGTGGTTGGAGACAGAATACTGGGTACTGTGTTTTCAGTGGTATTCAAGCAACTCAGGCATCATGGCTAGGGCTGGGGTTTTAAACTAATCACTAGGCTTGGGCTTAAGGGAACTTCTCCAGGCTAGAGGACCAGGGAGGGGGCATGGATGATGGATCACAGCCTACACACATCTGAGGGTTTTACCCAGTCGTGCAAGGATCAGTTGCTGGTGATACTCTCCAGCCTATGAGGTGTTCAGGAGCCCTGATGGCTTGTGCTAGGGTGGGTGATGAGGCTGATGTTGGGCTTGAGGCTAACCCAAGTGCTTCATTACCAGCAGGTGGGAGATATTAGGGACTGTGACAGAGTTTCAGCAAACACACCCCAGCTTCCGAGGAGGGCAAGCTCAAATTTTGCCCTGAATCAGCCTTTCACCCCTCTTGGTTGCCTTCCTCCTGCAAGACGTATCTTTTGGCCAGTGAAGTCCTGTGCAGGAGTAAGCGCAGCCCCAAGCTGACCCACAACCAGACGGAGTGGCACAGGGCTTGCAGGCCACACCAGCTCAGCCCTGATCACCATGCAAGAGCATGTTCCCACCAGTGCTAATCCAATTACAAAACAAACTTCCTTCCTTCATTATCAGGGCCAGCAGCATGCTAAAACAGCTTGGCAATTATGGAGGGCTTATCAAGGGACTAGAGATCAGGCAGTGAATGACAGAGCTGTTTCACTTGCAGGGAGGAGGGACAGAGAACAGAGGCAGCCGGGAGGACACAGGGGATTGCTGGGACAAGTGGATTGGGAATTGCCACAGACAAAGGTCTCTGGTCAACCTTCATGCTCCCAATGGGGTTAACCTCAAAGCCACGTCAGGTTGCTCAGGCCTTTGTCTGTCCTGCAGATTAGCATCCTCATGAATGGGGATCCCCCATCACCTCTCTAGCCCTGTCACATGGCAGTCCCCCCTCTCTTATTTCCAAACAACACTCATTTCAGTCATGGGACAGCAAAAGGTAGCACTAAAATAGCCTTGCAAGAGAGATTCAATCCAAATTTTCTGGGGAGCTCCCATCACAAACAGAGGATGCAATCCACTAGCCAGACCCAGAGTCACACACTTTCTATGAGAATCCCAAAACGAGGCCTCCCCAGGTCCAAACAGGACCCAGGACCTGCTTGGATCTGCCCCATTTGAGATCACGTCCATCCCCTGACCTGATGTCAAGCTGTGGGCTGGCTCTTCACTATAGCTCTGTATCCTGCACCCTGCCCCTACATCTTTCTTGTTGGACCTCTTCCACCACATGAGGGCCCACATGGAGCTGGAGGCTCCATTGCGCTGGAGGTGTTGCCCTCAGGTTGCAATGAATTTGCAGCCCTCTTCATCCCTGGTGTCCAGTGCCTCCTGGTAATATTATGAAGAGGGGAAAAAAAAAATTAGCTGGGCTTAGGGCAGTTCTTCTTCTCTCCAAAATAAAAAGCCCTTCTTGACTCTGGTCAACGCTAACACTGCTTGGAGCAGGAGAGTGGACTAGAGACCTCCTGAGGTCCCTTCCAACCCAAGTTATCATATGACTGTAGCCAGCAGGTCAAAGGAAGTTGACCTTTATTTGGCACTGGTGAGGCCACATCTGGATACTGTGTCCAGTTTTGAACCCCAGGTACAAGGAGAGAGTCTTGCAGAGGATCACTAGGATGGTCAGGGCTGGAGAACATGTTGTACAAGGAGATGCTTGAGGAGTTGCGCTTCTTTAGCCTGGAGAAGAGAAAGCTGAAGAGGGATGTAATTGCCACAGGGAGGATTGAGAGCTGCTTAGCTGAAGCACTTGGACACAAAGCCCAGCTCCAAAGCAGTCCTGCTGGTCCATGACTGTTTCTGGGGAGCTGGTGCGATGCACACGTCTCACACCCCTCAGCGCTCTGCAGGGATGCCCCTGTGAGATGGAGCCAGGCTGCTTGGGCAGGATCTCACCATAAGGCCGTGAGCTCACTGACTGGTACAGCCAGCACTGGGTGCCAGGCAGTTTGCTCCCTGCCATAGTTTCTCAAGAAAAAAACCAACCACAACACAATACATGGGGAGGCTCTCCTGTGCCTTTATTCCCTGGCTACATGGACCCAAGAAACCTCTGCTTTGCCAGCTGCAGCCACGGAGAAGGCAGAGTATCCCCCGGGATGAGTTCTGTGCTGGAGCCATCAGGGCACAGCAGGGCTGCTAAGGGCCCTTGAAACCTTTTACATGCAGCAAGGGCATCCCAAGGGCATCTCTGCAGATTTCTGCATCTTCAGGCCTTTCTTCAGGCTCTGGTGTGGCACTGCTAGGAAAAAAACCTCCAGCTGGAGTTGCCTCTGTCCCTGCCAGACAAGATGCCTCCCTGGGATGGAAGGAGGCAGCCAGGGAGCAGCCAGCAGCCAAGCAGGGCTGTAAGGAGACATTCGGCACCCGCTGAGCTCAAACTGCTGCCTTTTAAGGAGCGGCAGAGGCTGAGGCATCCTGGAACAAACCAACAGTTTCTGCAGGCTCCCAACTGCAGGGTGCACTTGGGGACCACACTGGCTGTGCCCAATGGTCCCCACAGCAGCTCAAAGGCATGATGGGCAATCAGAACAGTGATCCCCCAGCTACAGATTATGTCTGGAAAACCCCAGAGTCCCAGATGGTAGCCCTGCTCTACCTGTCATGGCTCCAGCGCTCACCCATGCAAGGTCCCTGCAGTCCCATTGATCACCTCCATCCCCCCCAGCAACCCTGCAGGACCAGCTCCTTCCTGGGAGCAGGTGGTGGGGAGGATGATGCTTTTTCACAAAGCCTTCATCAAGCCACCGCTAACGCATCCCACCAACACCCCAAGCGCTTTGCTCCACTGATGCAAAAGGTTTTGCTGGTCCAGCAGTGAATTTGCTGCTGCCATCCCCTCTAGCTGAACACAGTGGGACCACCTAGGGAGCGGAGGGGAAAGGAAACATGCTGCAGGGGAGTAACAGCAAGACTGAGCTTAGTCTGAAGCATGGATGGAGGAAATGTACAGTACAAGCAACACCAGGAAAAAGGTTAAAAGGCAAGGTATGCGTTAATGCTACAGAGCACCAGATGTAGCTTCAGCCAAATGAAGAGAAGGAGCAAGCTGGCCCAAAGATAAGGTGTCAGGAAGATGAACAACAGGACTGAAGCCACTAAATACCTAGAAGAGGAGAATAGATCTGTGAAATTCAGGGATTTTGCTTAAGACTTACAAGGGGTGAAGGAAAACAAGGAGGCAAAAGATCCCAAAGTACCCCCTTCTACCGGAATAACAGGCAAGTCCAAAATCAGCTCATTGCTGCCCGTGATTGGTCACAAAGACATAGTGACAGCATGACCACCAGTGTCCCTTGTCCCCTGTGTCTCAAACAAGTGAGCTGGCTGGACCGCTTAGGCACACGGGTCTCAGTGTATGCAAGGAAAAATCCATTTGCTTAGAGCTTTTGTGTAATAAAATCCCCCTCCCACCATTCTGCCACACTGACCCCCCAACTCGAGGTGGTGGGAACCGGGAGCGCAGTCCCCATGGAGCAAGAGGCAACCATGCACCGCTTCATTAGGCAGTGGTGCTGCACGCGCAGCTGAGACTGGTCACTATTTACATTTGGCAAAGGATGGCAGTGAGTACTGAGCACCCATACGGGTGGGGGCTGCTGCTCGCTTGGCCCCCCCCATGCCTCACTAGCCCCAGGCAGGTCCCCACTCGCCCCCCACCAGCCTCCTCGCCTGCGGGCACAGCCTTTTTGTCTCCCATGGGCAGAGCCAGGCACCCTCACAAAGGCACCTCAGGCCTGTTAACAGATGATTTCTCCCCCTTTTCTTGCACATCACTCCCCCGCAGGCTTCTCCAAGGCCCCAGCCCCAGTCCTTGCATCCCGAGCTCTGCCCTGAGGCAGGCAAGGGCAGTGGGCAGCCAGCAAACCCCACTCAGCTCCTCACACGGGGGGTCCCCCCAGCACCATCACAGCGAGCAAACTGGTGCACAGGAGCCCCACAAGAGAGTGGGATGAGAGGTCCAGCTGCAGCAATCCCCAACAGCACTGTCCGTGCCCAGCTTGCTGCTCACGGGCTGCTGGTCTGGAGCCCATCCTTGGCACGGTGGCACTTAGCCCTGCAGATGGGCCAGTTTCGGGTGCACCCAGCCTCAAGCCTGGCCTGTGGGTGAGGACTATAGGGTACGGATAGCCACCGGGTAAAGCAAGGACATGTGCTCAGCCCCCTTGATGGGCAGCTTGCGGCTGGCGTAGTGATGAATGATCTCCGGTACGCTGTCGAAGGGCGGGCTGTGCTGACCCAGCACATACTTGTTCTCTTGGGTCCGGGACAGTTTCATGTGCATGAAGCCCTGGCTGCTCCTGCAAGGAGAGATCGAAGCAGGGTTACGGGGTACAGCTGGCCCCAGTCTCCTGTCAGCTCCTGGCCACCCCAAGACAGGCAGCCTGCCCCTACAGCTGAGGGGGATGCTGCTGGCTCCTGTCCCCAGCCATGGCCCTGCCCACACCATCCTGCTCTTGGCCAACTCCAGATGAAGCCCACAGCACAAGGGAGGGACATGGCTGGCCACACTGCATTGTGTGTCCCCCCAGGGAACACAGCCATGCAGTGGGGTGCGAGGTGTCTATCTGGGGACAAGGATGGTGCCTGAGGCTGGGGTGGGTGCACGCAGGCAGGGAAGCAAGGGCACAGCCCAGGCAGGAGCAGCAGGGGCTCTCACTGCAGGGTGATGTAGGGGCAGCAGCTTTCACTCCTTGCATGTGGCAAAGCCCCTTTTGTAACCGCCTGGCTCGCACAGGAAGATCATGGCTCATGTATCCCCAGTCTCACCATGGCAAAGCAGGATTCTCTCCTTTGGCCCACAGCCTGTTGCCCCCCCAATGCCAATACTGCAGGCTCCATAAAACCCGCTCAGCGTAGCGAGGCCATTTCCCAGCAGAGCACGGGCACCGAGCCACGCAAGGCTGCACAGGCAGATCCTACCACGAGCGCTGATTCCAAGTGACGGGCTAATGGCCCTGTTGCTATTAATTTGCGTCTCCGAGGAGAGACACAGTCTGTCTGCAGCGTCTGGAATGCACATTATGGCAAAATATTGATGACTTAAAAGCAGACAGGACCTCATCAGCAATGCTGAGCCACTTCCAGCACTGCGCAGGCCAGTCCCATCCCCCCAGCTGGAGACGGTGCCTGTAATGGACAGCCCGGCTGCATTAGCAGAATGGGTTTGCAATCCATTTAGCACAGAGAGGCAGGGCATCCGACATCCCAGGGGAAGACAGAGGGGCAAGCCACAGCCCTCTGCCAGGGGCCAAGGAGAAGAGATAGCCAGCCACATCCTGTGTTCCAGCAGTGGGGTGCAGGGAATTGCTGTGGGGGCTGTACCACACACGGCACCCCATGAAGATGCATGGGTTTATCCTGCACACACACACGGTCGCACCACTAACACGCAGAGCTGCCCTCGGTGCTGCACCTTGTCTACAGATAGACCCAGCCCTTGCCTAGCGCTGGCAGGGGAAAGATGCACAGGACCCCAGTGCAGGATCAGTGTCGGTCCAGAGCTGGAGCACTGCAATACAGGTCCACAGAGAGGTGATGCTGGCTGTGTCACTCCCCAGGTCTCTGTCACAAGTTCAGAGATGTGACTGAGACCGGACCACAGGAGAGATGTCTGAGGGACCATGCTGCAAATCAGACAGCCTCGCAGCCAGCAGAAGGGATGGGACAAGGACAAGGGGCAGGTGCTGCTCCTGCTGAGCACCTTACAGACATGAGAAAGGACCCAAACCTTTACAGCATGGCCTCAGCCAGTCTCACAGAGGCGCAAGCCAGGAGGGACTCATTCCCCCAGCATCTGAGGCAATGACACTACAACTCTGCCCACAACAGGCAACATGGGGCTCCCTAGCCTGGACCAGCCAGGACTGTCACGGCACAGTTAAATCCTTCCGGCTACCTGATGCAATATGGGTACAGCCGCTCCTGCTGCTCTCTCTTGTGCATATTTTCCTTTAAAGCAGCACAAAAGGGCTTTAGGTCAGCACTGGAACTCTCTTTCAGACTGTCTCCTCAGCTGCACCTCCTTCCTCAAGGAAAAAAGGAAAGAGTTTAAAAAAAAAAAAATAGAGAAACACACAGACAGTCAGCTTACAGCTGTATAAAAAGAGTCCCAGGGGATTTTCCTTGAAAAGGCTCTACAGAGAAAGGCAGTGGAGTAAAAATCATGCTCCCAAGGCTGTGGGCTCTCTGCAAGCACAGCCAGTGGACAGGCAATGCTCAAGCAGCTCCTGGATGGGCTGCAGTCTCCTCTGGGGAGTTCATTTTTGCCATGAGGCTAAGGATGGGCAGTAAGAAGTAAGGAAAAAATCCCAAAGAAATGGGTGACTGTCTTGTAGAGCGGTGATAGAAAGGGGCACTCACACTGGCAAGGGAGTAAGCCCCATCCACAACCCCAATTCCACCTCCCAGGCTCTCCAACATACATGCTGGCTAATGCCACCCACAAGGCGATGGCTGAGAGGACTTCTCGCAGCCTTGAATATGATTCATCAACCAGCAGAAGCTGTAGCTTCAAAATTGCTTGCAAGCCAGGGCAAGGAAAAAATATTGAGAAAATTAAAACATCAGTAAAAATTCTGACAAAAAAAAAGGAGAGGAGGGAGCTTTTCCAGAAAGACTTGTTGTCTGATCTGAAAGCTACAAGTGCAGAAGGAAGAAAGAATATTTTCCGCTAAACTTCTGCCCTGGTTTGGTGCTGAAGGCAGCAAAAAAGTGAAAAAAGTAGAGAGAGAGACCGAGCAATCTAATTCACAATTGTGTCACTGGGAAATAAACGGGGGAGGCTGAAACCACCAGGGAGCAATGCAGGTACAGAGGCCACTGAAGAAACTTAAAGTATATTGAGAAAAGCATAGGGATACATGGCCTGTTGTTGGGCAGACACAACTGAAGTGCTCAATAAATACTTTTTTTACATCTGTCAGGAACAGAGCTAATATACTTGTTCAGCAGAAGGGCAAGAAGGTATTTGCTAATCCACCACCATCTTCAGGACAGTAACAGCTTTGATTTTGTGGGTTTGGGCTGCCTGAAGAATCCTGAAAGAGCTGGATGAGGCACTGTGGGCAGCTTCTCCCTGGCAGGACACATGCGGCGATGCTTCATGCAGTTTTAGCACTAAGGGAAACTGGAAAACTTGGGGAGGGTGCAAACATCCCCCCGCAAAACCCAAGCATAAACCAAGCTGTGCCGTGGGGGTGAGGTTTCCCTGTTGGGAAACCAAAGCAGCATAACACCCTCTCTAAATCAAGAGCAAGGGCTTCAACAGTTATGTGGCCTGGGGAGGCAGGGATGAGTACCTGCATTTCCGTCAGTAATGGGATCACACAAACTTTATTTTCCCATGAAACTAAGCTACAAAAAAAAAAAAGGGGGTAACAAGAAGCCAGAGCTGGAAGTTGTAACCAGACACATTTGAGTAAGCAGTGAGGCACATAATTTTATCTGTCTGAAGAATTACTAGCACTGCCAAGGGAAAAGCAGTGTGCCTCCAGATCTACAAGCCTTCCCGAGAGATACTTTTGCCAGACACCAAACCAGAAGCCTATGCCACACCGCAGAGAAGTGCGGACTCCATATTCCAGCCATTTCTGACCACTCCGTGGTTGTCTCAGAAGTACCCCATCGGCATGGGCACACATTCGCATGAGGCACCTACCCGCAAGGGGTCACCCATGGCAGTGGGTCACCTTTGCTGTGGGTCCACCACCCCCCCAGCCCCATGAGGCTCACTCACTTCAAGGAGAGGGAGAAGTCATTCTTGCTGGTCTCACTGTTGCGCACCAAGTAGCTGGCCTCCTTGCACAGCCTCAGCAGCGTCTCTGCGTCCGTCCGGCTGATAGCCCCGTGGTACCAGCTGCAGGCAGGAGAGGGACCAGCTGTGCCAGGCAGAGAGTGGACACCCTGGGCAGGACACTGCCCCAGGGCAGCAGCAACACCAGCATCCCCGGCACCTCCCCAGGGACAGCAGTCACATTGCAGGAGAGGGATGTGGGTAGCACTGCTGGGGTTGGGGGACAAGGGGCAGGGCTCCCACTGGGCAGCTTAGGGGCATGTAGAGGGCACATGGGGACACCACAACTGCAAGAAGGGTAGCAGGGACAAGCAGGCAGAATCACAGGGCCAGGAAAGAAACGAAGAAGCAGGTCTGCCCCAGGGCTCCTCGTGGTGTGGCCACAGGGATCCTGGAGCAGGCAGAGGGGTCAGGCAGTGCTCAGGGCAGGCAGGACTTACCACTGGCTCTCCAGGGGCAGGGCAGGGTCAATCCTCTCCCCGACAAAGGGGCCAGGCTCCGCAATCAGCGTCTTTGAGCTCTTGAGGCTGCTGGAGCCATGCCTGAGGGCAGCCCTGGCCTTTTCCTCCCTGCAGGGTGAGGTGCGGCCATACCCCAGCCCCTCTGATGGACCTGCAAGACAGACACGTTGCAATCAATGGCAGGAGCAGCTGGACAGTCTGGGCTCCCAGCTTTCCCCACCCCCCCCGCAGAGGGAGCCCACAGAAAGAGCCAGAGCCACGTCACATCACATCATGCTGGGTCCCATCATACCGCCCCATCCCCCTGCTTTAAGCAAGGGCAGGGCAGCTCTTGGACTGTTGCTCAGTGCAGTGCCCCAGGATATACAAGGTCAGGTCCCCACCACACCAGGACTGGGGTCCTTGCAGTGCGCAAACCCCTGGAAATATTTTCCAGGGAGGTTTCGAAAGCTCAGAGAAGCTTTGCTAATGCAACCAGAGATTCAGTGGGTGCAGCATAGAGTTAAGTGAGAAGAAGTAAGGAGCAGCTCTCCAGTCTTCAGGGAAAAAAAAAAATTAAATTAAAAAAAAAGAGGAGGGGGGAAATGGAGCTAAAGGGAGCAATCAGTTTGGAAACGATGGACACATTTCTGCCAGTACAAGTAAACCTCTTGGGGTGAAAAAAATAATACCCCAAGGTGGCAAGGGGACATTTTGACTGTGAGATCCCTCCCTGATGCAGCCACCTGCCCGGCACCAGCCCAACCACAGGCCCCCGGATACCGGTAAAGAGCAGTGGCCCAGTGTGTGCCACCCGGAGAGCGGTGGGGGATTAACCGAGACGTGCCCTGGGGACCCAGCCTTCTGCCAACTGTTATTTCCGTGCAGGATGATTTCAGCATTAACAGTATTGTTTCTCTCTCCTCCAGAGAGATCGTTATTGCTCCCCTGCAATGCAAGCCCCCTTACACAAATTACTTATCGATCAGGCAGAGCTGCCTTGACACGTGGCTGCCAGTGGCTGATGCTGTGGAGGCCCAGGTGCCCCGGAGGCAGCTGAGCCTGGGTGCAGCAGCTCCCCTTGTCCCCAGGACGAGCTGGACTTCCCTGGCTGGGCAAATTCCCCCTCGCTGTGCTTCCTATCTGCTGGAGGGTGAGGCTGGTCCTGGCTCAGCCCTCTGTCCGCTGCTGGCCACTGGGACTCCAGGCAGGGGCAAAGTTTGCTTTTGGAGCACCCCAACTCTGCAGGCAGTGAGGACATGCTCTAGCATCATCCTCCCCCCAGCCCCAGCAGCAAAGCAGGGTGATGCCAAGGCCACGCTGCTGCGGGACAGAGGCAAAACATACCCAGAGAGGGATGTTTTTCTCTCTAGCAGGGCATCCTCTAAGACAGCTATTTGCAGGGAACCTTGCCTGGGCCCTACGCAGTCAAGCAGGTCTCCAGCCCCTCCAGCACCAAGAAGAGAGGAAGGCAGCCAAAAGGAAAGCCAGCCAAAATCCTCTGCAGCTTAGCATGGCTTAAAACCCCCCGAGAAGGAGCTTGAGGAGGAGGTGCCCAGCATTAAGGTTTGACAAGCCCTGCCTCTGCAGTGGTCTGGCTTTTTACCAGCCAGGCTCGCCCTTGTACATAACATCCAGGCTTCAATTTCAACTCATCACCTTAAAAAAGTGGGGCAATCGTTAAAAAGCCAGACAGTCAAAACACCAAAGTGTTTGCTGGCATCACAAACTCATCATGTTAGAGGCTCAGAAGAAATGCATTGCACCTGTCCGAGAGAGGCAGAGGCATGTGCATGGATTAAACAGGATATTAAAAACAAGCCCCTAGGAGTAAGAAGACATCCTTCAAGAAGTTCAAGTCACCCCCAGACAGGGAAAGTAGAAAATGAGACAAAACTCTGGCAAGATAAACTTAACACAACAAAGCAAGTCAGGTAAAAAAAGAGACTCTTTGTTGCTAAAACCAAGAAAAATGACAAACTGACATGTTCATCAGGAGCAGGATGCATGTCAGAGTGACTGCGGGGATAACAAATGATGGGGGAAGAGAAGAGACTGTATAGCAAAGAAATGAATTTTTCTTGACACCTGCATTCATTGTAGGAAGAGGACAAGGAAGTTTCCCCCTGCCAAGACCTTTCTTTTTCAGGACTGATCTCAGCCTTTAGCATCCCTACAGGTTTGGGACAGTACCCCAACATGGCCCCAGCAGAGCAGTCAGATTGCTCTGGGGTTCCCCTATAATCAGCAGCAAAATCAGCTGTCACGTGCAACCTCATGCTCAAACCCACCTAGGAGGCAGCAAAAGCAGTACTGTTGTGTTTTTTTACAAAGCTCTGCAGGGCTCTGGGTAACTGCAGATAAGGAAATCAGACATATGCACCTGGCATGTCGCAGTGTCTACCAGAAGCAGCATTAGTGACGCACGGGCAGACACAGCACGCCAGGGCACAGCTGCCAGTTTGCAGAGAAAGTCATGTCTTGCAGATCCATCCCAGTTCCCTGCAAGAGCGGCAGCATGTGAACGAGGTCATCCCAACCCCGAAAGCCTGGGTGGCTTTCGACAAACCCCACCACCTAATGCTCTTGGCAAAACCCTAATCCACCACAGCATAAGAGTAAGTCCTTAAAATATTAATAATGGGTTAAAAGAGAAGCAGCAATATTTGGCTTTCCTAAGTGAAGCCAGCAGAGTCCAAGGGCGATTTACATGGGGGCTCTGCCACTCAGCACACACAAAAAGGGCTTCACAACAAGGCAAACCTGAGATGACAAAGTGTGCCTGGGAGATTTAGTTATTCAGGATAGCAAAAACCTCCTGCCACTGAGCAGCAAGGTAATAAAATACCGGAGGAAACGGAGCAGTGCTAAATGATGAAGCGAGGTACACAGGGAAAAAAACAACCTCAACCTCCACGGCATGATCTGAATTAGCTGCTACCACACCTGTAAGGGACCTGGGTATTAAGAGTCACAAGAAAACATCAGCTAAATGCTCAGAGCAGTTGTTGAGAAGACCATAAAAGCAGCCATCAAACATTGGGAATTTGGAGGCAAAGAGGAGAGAACAAAAGAGAAGGTAATAACTCTGCCACCGAATAATCCCCTGGTGCAGATTGACTGCTGCATGCAAACAGGCATCGTGGAGCTGGAGAAGATGCAGAAGAGGCAAAGACAAATGTCTGGTGTCCGGCACAGGACAAGTGAATGAGCCAGGAGGAGCTGGGGGAAGGCGGAGGAGGAAGGTGGATGTCTGGCAGCAGCCCGCAGACAGTGGGCAGAGCCCTGCTAGGTCTGGGCAAGCTGCAAGGCATCACAGCATCCCAGGGCCGGCGGGGAAGCAAGGCAGGGTCGCAGCGAGCACCGGCCGCAGCCCCCCCGGACACCCCGCTGTCACACGAGACCCACCGTTGGCGTCTTCGTAGCTGGGCTGGCCATGCTGCGGAGGGACAGAGGCACTGGACTCGCCATCCGGGGGGCTTTCACCGCTGTCAAGCTGTCCCACCGGTGGTGGCCATGGCAGGTCTTTAATGACCTTGATTTCAACTGGATGGGGGTGGGGGGGCAGGAAAGAGAGAGAAAAAGAAAGAGAAAGAGAAAGAGAGACAGAAAGGGCTTAGAAAAAACTGTCAGCAACACCAGGCCCACAGAGAAGGAGAGCAGTTGTGGGGGGAAAGACCTGAGGGCTAAATTCCTGGAAGCCCTATGCCAGTTTGACCACCTTGCCCCTCCCCAGCACTGAGCATGAAGTGGCCTGATGTGGGGCACATTCCTGATGGAGACACCCTGCTCCTCCATCAGCTTTCCCAGCCGACCCTCTCTGGGGTAGGGGGGGAGCCTGCGATCACCCCTGTCCCACATGCACGTCCGTCTGGGGGACCTCCGCCGAGCATCCCGTTGCCATCTGTCCTGCCCATGCACCCATCTTGCCCCGGGCACTTTCTGGCCACCCCACAGGGTCCGGGTTCCCCTGCCAGGCACCAGCAGGTTGCTGCCTCATGCCGGTACCAGGTGGCCATCAGCAGGGGTCTCGCAGGCCTCCCCCAAAGGGGGAAAGGGCCAGCAGAGAGATCCCGGCATCACAAGAGAGGAGGAACGCCCTGGGAGCCACAGCAGGATCCGCTCTGGCTCTGGAGGAAAACAGGCAGCAGGTCCTAATGAGGCCCAGGGCACAGCAACCTGACACCCTCAGAACTTGAAGCAAGCGTGAAGCACCCTGGGGAGCACCACGTGCATCCATGCGCGAGCCAGACATGTGAACACACAACCTCCACCCAGGGACATGAAGCAAGACAGCTCATCCACCCAGATCTGGAGCACAGACACCTCAGCACAAACCCAGCCCGGCAGCGCGCCACGTTTCATGACAGAGCCCAACAAGCCAAATCCTTGGCACAGCGTGCCACAAGTACCAGCCCTGCGCCTGGCCAAGTCCCAGCGGCATGAGTGCAACCCCAGGCAGGAGCAGATACCGCGGCAGAGCCCAACACACATATCTCCAGCTCACAGAGCCCAAACCCAAAAGGTGAATCACTCCCAAACTGGAATCTCCACATCTCTCTCTGCCAGCATCCCCACAGCACCAACAACCACTGGCTCAAGCACCTTGTGCACGCTGGCTGCAGCATAGATGCATACTGCTGCAATTAAAATGCATCCTAGATAAAAGCGTGGCAATTAGCCAGTACTGGCAGAGGAGCCAGCGCTAATGCATAGCATGGATTTCCTCATTAACAAACACAAACACAATCGATCCCACAGCACAAATAAATAGGACAGGGGCTGGACGATCACCTGGCCAAAAGCTCCTAGGGGAGCACCCAGCTCTCCTTCTGCCCCAAGGAAGGAGGGATCTACCTGAGTCTCTCCCCTGCAATTTGGGGTTGGGGGATGTCAACTTGCACTGGAGGCTATGATCAGTAGAGCAGGGGAGAGGCAATGAGAGATGGGCACTGGACAGGCTGCCAAGGCAGCTCCATTTACCACTCCACCCAGCCTGGCTTCCTGCCAAAGGGAAACAGCTTCTGCAAGTGCACAAGCACTCCCCGAGCCACAGAAATGCAGAGGCCAACACTACGGACCCCCAAAAGATGAAGGAACCCCAAGGAGCCAGCTTCCCCCCTGCAAAATGCAACACAGCATCGGTTGCTTTATAGCTACTATCCATCCTTTATGGCTGCTCCCATCACTCACCTGCAAAAGCTTTGGAGATCCGCTCCTTCTTCCACTCCCAGGGCTGGTCGTACTCCTCTGGTGGCCTCTCATCGTCCTCAGGCAGCCGGGACTCCCTCGGTCTGGGGCAAGTTGAGCAGTCACTGTCCATGTCCAGCCCTCCAAGCACAGGCTCATAGGGAGTATCGTAGAGGTGCAGTGGCCGGGTGGGAGCCTCCCATAAGCCCTTCTGGCGGATCTCTAGCCGGAGAAGAAGGAAAAGACCATAAGCTTTTTGCCCAATACAGCCCGGCCATGGTCCCCAAAGCCCTGCTAGATGAAAGGGCTCAATTTCACCCAAGGGTGACATGGGGTAGGGAGAATCAGCAATGGAGGAGACCCCACAAACCTCCGGCAAGCATGGGCCAGAAGAGGGGGGACTGATGGGCAGCCAGGTCCTGAGCAGTCCACAGCACCAAGATGCCTTCTCTCCCCACAGTACAACATCCCCACTCCCAGGCAGCCCCACAAAGCAGGGTCCATGGGGACAGAGCATCCCCTGATTCCCTGTGAGCAGCGAGGCAAATTTCTTCCCTGGACACCGAGTGTGGCTAGTTTAATAAAATGCCCTTCCCTTAAGCAAAGCAAAAGTCTCTCCCACAGACACAAGCAGCCTCTTTGTTGCTTGCTGATTTTTCCAAGAAATGCAATGGTCTAGTCCAAAAAGCCACACGAGCTTTCCAGAAACCACTTGCTCCAGGAAAACCATGGGACTGCAAAGCAGAGCCAGAGCCTGGAGCGTGTGAGCCTGCACAGCGACCCTGCATGTGCTGTAGTGGTAAGAGCAATGCCTTTAGGAGTGCACACTCTCACTTGCTTTCTTGCTTGCTTTCCAGACATAAACAAGCCCACTGGGGACCCCGCTGCTGCAGCAGACAATGGCACACTCTGGCCCAATCCTAACCAAATTAAATAGCTCCCACATCTGTCTTAGTTTTATGCCAGATGCATCGAATGTCGGGTCTCTCCTGGCTCAGCCTGGCGGGCAGGCACCGTGGTCCCAGGAGGTACTACTACAGGCAGAAATATCAAGGTGCCTTTATTGCTCGGGTAGCCTTTGCGAGTGCCCTGGCTACGGCAAGCCCATCACACACGGCTGAAGCTGTGAAAATTTGCCTGCAAAGTGGCTGTGCACCATCACAGCGATGGCCCAGGTTTGCTTTGTCTGGAGGACCTGATGCTGTCACAGGCTGCAAGGAACAGAGTACAGTGGCCACCAAATTCACAAACCAGGGACCAGAGGCACAAAGAGTGGCCTCTGCATGGAGCCTTCCACCTTACCAGCCATCATCTTCTGGGCTTCATACGGCTCCATGTATCCATCGTTCTCCATCACCTTCTCCAGCCCTGCCTGGCTACCAGCCACCTGCGCCGCATCAAAGGGATCTGCATAGTCCTCCAGGACAGCCAGCTGGAAGAGGGGAATGGTAGGAGAAGGGTTAGGGTACTCCCTGCCTTTTTGTGGGGGGTCAGGGACCAGTCAAACCCTGTTTCAAACACCACGAGCTCTGCTAGCAGCAGCCAGAGTGGCAGCTGGGACCCTAAGCCCACACCATGGCAGCCCCGCAGAGCGGGTGCTGGCAGCCAGCGGCTTTCCAGGTACTGGCGCTCAGCCATGGAAATGCTCCAGCCTTTGTCCCGAAAGCTGGGACAGAGCCAAGCAGAGCAGAAGGCAGCCAGGCCGCCTCCCTTACCATCGGCTTGGTGCTGCCAGCACCCACACAGATGTCCCAGCAAGGCCCCCACCATGGTGCAGGACTGCCAGCAGTGCTGTTCCCCACCCCATGGCACGCAGATGCTCTCCCTGCATGCAGCCACATTTCCTCACCCAAGGTGGAGAAAGGGCCCAGATCCTACCTAGTACAGGGGTGTCAGCTGGCACTGGCACGACTGGGAACTCACTGGTTATTTTCCAGGGCTCCTGCAGGCTCGTTTGAAGACATTTCTTACGAAAGAGCTACAAACAGCCTATAGCTTCCTCTCCTCTCCCTCCCAGGCCCCCACAGCATCCCCACACGCGTCCCAGGTAACACAAGACAGGGCTCCTCCATATAATCAGGAGTCACCGGGAAGTAGGACCAGGAGCCTCTCAAGTGCCATGTCACAGGGATGGCACAAAAAGCCCCAGGCTTGCCCTTACTAGCAAAAAGGAGATGATCCTGCAGTAGGATATGGGGCATGTCCCAGAGCTTGATCCCCTCCAGCACTGGAGCCACATGCCTGCTCTGGCACCTCAGCAGCTTCCCAGCCAGAGCACCCCATCACACGATGCCACAGCCCCTGGCAATCCTGGAGCTGTACATCCCACCTCCAGTCTGAAAGCTTGGTCCCAAAACAGGGACAGGCAATATTTGCAGCAGGGTCCAAGTGCACCCAAGCACCTTTGCCAGGGTCTGCTCGCCCACCAGGATGCAAACCCCAGGCTGGACCATTCAGCGAGACGAGTTTTGCCACCACAACACAAGCTATACAGAGCTCCTACAGCAAGGACCAAATGGCCCGAGCATGGTGCAGTGGCTGCCTAATCCCAGCCGGCACCAGGCTCTGTCCTCACTGCCATGCTGTCCCTGCTCTTGGCCAGCTTTGGAGACCACGGCCGCTCACACATTTCTCTCTGGCTCTCATAATCAGCTTAAAACAAAACACTTCTTCCTCCTTCCTGTGCAAAATGGCCCGACAATAGCCTTGAGCAGCAAAACCCAGCAGGAAAAGGGAACAGGAACTGGAGCTGTAAACACTTCCGCGTAGCCCCAAGCCTTCACATCCCTCCAAGCTGCAGAATGAACGTGGCTCCCGACACTCCAGCTCACCACCTCCTCCATAAACGTCCCAGCTCCAGGCTCCCTGGGCAGCTGATGCAGCGGGGAGCTGGGGCAGCTCTCCAAGCCCGGCCTCTCCGTATTGGGGCACAAGTGAGCAGCAAAGCATCATCCCTGGAGCAAACCTTGCCAGCCACAGGACTTGCAGCCACCCCAAGCGAGCACAAAACGGGCTCAAACGTGGGAGCAAGCAGATGCTCTCACCCCTCAGCAAGGCAGCAGCAGGAGAGATGGCTGCTCGAGGTACCAGCCTCCACCGGATGAGAGGGAAAAAGCAAAACCTCCCGCTGGCTCTGCAGGGAGGGCCCGGTGCCAGCAGGCCAGGACAGGGCTGCAGTGGGAGACAGGAAATCTGCTCTTGCCTCCATCATCCGAGGGAGACGCAGCGTCACTCAGTCCCCGCCGGCACTGGGGACACCAACAGGCAACGCTGAGTCCAAGGGGCTGCAGCCCTTTGCTTGCCACCACTGGGGTGAAACCCCCCCAGGGAAATCTAAGTCGCCAGTAACTTTGGTAGCTGTTTGGTCACTGGGACCCGACCTCACACCCATGGGGCGGGGAGATGAGCAACAGCAACTGCACATTCACTGTGGGAAGCCCTTCTGTTTTCTAAACACCCTTTTCTTCCCCAAGGCAAAGAGGGGTTCAGCTTGCAGCAGGCAGGAGCTTCCCACCTGCTGCCTGTGAGATCTGAAGGGCAGATCAGCACCCGCTGCTCCAAAGAGCTGGGAGATCCTGTGGGCTGCTTCAGGAAGCTGCAAAGAGGCTTTTGCTGCACCGCAATGACATCTGCAGAGCACAGCCCCGCACTGGTGACAGCCCATTTGCACATGCACTAGTGCCAAGGGAGGCACAAGCATGCCGGCAGGCGTCCCAACATGCACAAATGCACAGGCTCAACACGCGAGTGCCTGCGAGACGGGCGGATAGGCAGCGCCATGCCCAATGCTAACCCTTTGCAAAGAGCTCTCACAGCTCCATGTGTGCAGCAGGGTTGTGAAACACAGTTTGCTGACCCTCCTGGGCTCAGAAAGGGGTTGCCTGCTCGTTCCTCCTGCCCCAAGTCCAACCTGCCCGCATTCAAACCTGCCATGAACCCTATTTCCTACATGCATTTTGTTAGACAGACGTAGACCCAGCTCGCAGCTGGTGCCAGTCCTAGACCCTCCCTCTCCCATCCCATAAACACAGAGCAGCTTCAGATAAGACAGGGCACCAGCACAGCAGTTTGGCAGCCGAGAGGCTCCTCTGCAGACAGCGGTCATGCTTCCCAAGTGAAGAAAAGTCCCCTCTGTAATTCCTCAGCACCTGGGTCTGTCTTCCCAGGTAGGGAGGGACACATGAGCCCCAGCAAGCTCTCAGGTTGGGCCCCACTCAGGTCCCTCCAGCTCCAGGTCTAGAAAGCAGAGGATGGTGGGGAATCCCAACACGTCTCTGCTCAGAGCCCTAAAACTGGGTATTTTTCTTGCAGGGGGGCGCAGAGGTGTTCAGCAGCAATTAGACAGGATCTGCTGGGCTTAGCTCAGACCCAGAATGAATGGCTCAGATCAGGGGCTTAAGTCTCCGAGCTCCCTATGTTTGGTGGGGTTTTGCTACACTGGCTTTACTCCTCCACTATCTCAAGGATGCCTCTTCATAGGAGCCAAGCTTTCCCACCACAGGGTGTTGAGAGCATAAACCCATTGGATTTTTAAATGGTCAGATATTACAGTGGAGAGCCATGGAAAGGCTGGGAAGGCAACTCCTAACTGTCTCCAGGAGCATTGCAACCTCAGGATGTACAATCAAGCAAGCAAGAATGGTACCCCGAGCCCTGAGGCTGGAGGCTCCAAGCCAGTGCCAGGAACGGGACAGGGCTTTTAGAGGGCAAACGACAGGGATCACACAATTACCAATTGCATCCTAATGCCCTTGGCACATGGGGCCAAATCAAGGTTGTCCAGGGAACTGCACCTCTGACATTTCTTCATCCCAGTGCTGAACTTTACAAGCCATGCGGACCTCTCTGTGGCAGCTGTGGTGCACGCAGCCATTCCCCCAGTGCAGGAGAGGGCTGCAGCCACAGGCAGGGCAGCTACCAGGGGTGCTCCAGACCCACCCCGGTCAAGTCAAAGGCCAGGCATTTCCATGTTTTGCTCACCTCCCATGTCGCGGAGGGAGCTGCTCACCACCTGAGGCCAATCCCAGAATGCCACTCAGATGCCTGGGTACCGAGGCATCGCCTGCTCAGACACAGCACAAGCTTTGCCAGATTTTAAATAATTTGGGTGCAAAGCACATGACTGACATGCAAAGCCACTGACCCGGGACAGCTCTTGGTGCAGAGCAGTCCTTCAGAGAGCAGCCAGGCACTTGGACACAGACCCTCTTTGTGCATGTAAGTGTTTTTCATGCATTTATCTGCCGTGGCAATGCACATCCAGATCCCTGCTGCAGTACCAAGGCTGCTCTTGCTCTGTTATTTTTGTGAACTGTAAGAAAGAAAACCAAAAAGAAAACCAAAATAAAATTAAGGCAAAGGGCCAGATCATCACTGGGTTCTCACAGTGAAACAGTTTTTATGCTGCCCACCAGGGAAGGCGACAGATGGTGGCTCTTCAAGAGAGTCCACAGCTCAGACACTGAGATCCCAGGGCAGAGCACAGGCTCTTCACCCCATCATTGCCTACAAACGTCCCACCTGCGACCACATTTTGCCACAAGAAGACGCTCCCCTCTATAGAGAGGTTCCCAGAGGACACCTGGGGAGATCCTTCAATTTATAAACAAGTTCCTTGCCATGGAGATATGAGATAAGATAAGAGATGTTTGGGGTCCCCCCAGGAGATTGCTGGGTTTCACGCCAGTCACTCTGGGTTACAACCAAACTGTTCCTTCTCTCCATCAGGTGCAAAATTTCCTCAGTTCTACCCATCTTGCAGCTTGGCTTTTGGTGGACACCAAAGCCAAACCCAAAAGCAAATGAAGCACTGGCCTTCCAAGAAGGGTCTGGTCCCCTGCCTGAGGGGAACGGCTGGGCCAGGCATTGGCCCCATGGCTGCACCCATGGCATGGGAGGAGGGAGTGCGGGGCGGACAGCACAGCATCACGCAGGATGACTTAGTTTGGGGAGGTTCTCGCAGGAAAGACACACGCCCATAGAGCTTCCTGGCCCAGCCGCTCCCACACCCCACAACACTGACCCCACGCTCCCAGCAAAAACACCAGTGACCAGTCCCAGAGGGCACAAGACAAAGCCCTCCCTAGGCAGATCCCCAACCTCATCCCCAAGCATGCTGTGCTCTGGGCACAGGCATCCCCACGCAGGGAGATCCCTCACCGAATCTCTCCCCACTGCATCCTGGTGGCATTGCTCCTCACACCTAATCCAAACACAGCAGAGAAGACATCTCCAGTGTATCTGCTGCGCTCAGGCAAGCCGTATAGGGCCAGTCCATTCATTGTCCATTGCTGTAGGCCCAGACCAAGCAGACAGAGAAGGACCTGTGCTGGTCCCCAGCATGTCCAGCAAGCATTTGTAATGGAGCAGGAGCCACTGCAGAGCTCACTCTAAGTGTGTCCCCACAAGATGTTGCAGATCGCATGCAAG